GTGTACAGGAACATATATATATATATATGTTCCTGTACCAGGAGCGCATATATATATATATATATATAAATCTAAATGCTCTCTGGTATTGTTCAGGGAGCCGGACCAAATGTTGGGGCGGGCCGGATTCGGCCCGCGGGCCGTACTTTGGGGACCACTGATCTAGACTGTGCTGTGAAGTAAGATCAGAATCGAGTGGAAGAGTGTAGGAAGGTAATGGTAATTCTGCCAAATAAAAGCAGCTTTGCAGACAGATAAATTACCTTCACGTACTTAATACTACAATATATTTTAGAGCACAGTATTATTATTTTGCATAAAATTGTACATTAAGATTTGCTTAATATTGTAAATACCAGGAGTCCAACTTGATTTTAAAGACGTGAGGCTTTGCTAATCTTCCAATCTCTATTTCTTTCCAAATAGTAAAACAGGACAGAAGAGCAATAACTACTGAACCACATGACTAAATGCAAAAGTATTGCACTTACTTGTAGCAATCATTGTTATACTGATTGTAGCTTCCCAGAGCTGTCAGACTCCCCTGACAAATGCCAAAAGAGAAAAGGACCTGTGCACCTGCATCCATCCAAACCTACACAGACATCAGCACAGCGTCAGTGAACAAGCACTTCAGAAACTTCTGTAAAAGAGGAAGTCTGATGTATCTAAGGTGCTTATTGGGCTCAGACTTCCATTGGAAGCAACCAAACTGGGAGCTTTTCTTTGTCTTTGAATTTATTACTTACTTGAGGGTCCACCAACCTTGTAGGATCTGGATATAGGTAGAAAGCCAAGCCATCCATCGCTCCGGGCAATGAGAGCCCACGGGCCAACAGAACGACTAACATCACATAGGGAAACGTGGCGGTAAAGTAAACTACCTACCAACACAAACATAAACGTTAGATTGTGCCTAAAACACTGGAAAACACTGAATTATAGCTAATTTTTTAAAAGAACAATTAAATGTTAGAAGTGTTGTTTTTCATGTTAACAGAAATCTTGTAAATATTTTTGCACCAGATTTATGAAGCTATAAAGCTATGTGTGCTCAAAATATTTATGCAAAATCACCACACCTATCAGCATGTGTGCAATTCCTTTAAAATTAATGTAAAAGCACCTACATTTTTGCATTTTCTAATCTAACTTTTAAAAAACATACATTTATAAGTTGATCACTGTGTTGAAGAACTATTAATTAGAAACTCCTGACTTTCTGATAACTTGAGGAATAAATAAAATGTGATTCAACATGTGGAGTTCAATTTCTTTTCACCATTTCTCTGGTCGGGAAAGACAAGAACATGCAATTCAGATATGAGCTGGTTTTTATTTGTTGGAGAATATGTTCAAGTGCAACTCACCAAACTTGGTTATATCTACAGTAAGTGTGGCGTTTGCATTACATTTTAAATATGTAGGAGAAGATGTGGGCAGTAATTGGTGTGCTCCCTCGGAAACTGTTCCCAGATTTTCAACACTTTTCAGAGAAGTTCAAGCACCTTCCACTTTTTTTGTCACAAAAATGTAAATCTGGCACCTGTTTTGTAAGGTCTATGTGAGTTCTTTACTTTTCTCTCCAAATGACCCAGAAGCCTAACTATTTCAGACCTCTGGCCTGTGATCACTAAACACGATGTGTTTAGCAGCCAACTGGCTCTTTGCAAGCTTGTTTTTACAGAAAAACGGAACTCCAACATGATCGTGCAGAATGGAAGAACAGGACACGGAACAAAGGACGTGGAGAGAGAAAAAAGGAAGAACAAAAATAAAACATTCAGCAAGAAGAAAGCACATAAAAGGATAAACAAAAGGAAATCTGAGTCCCCTTTCTGATTTCACAGGCTAAGCATTAGTGGGATGACGGTTTATTCTACTGTTAGCCGATTATGTGGTTTAAATGCGAGTGATATAAATTCAGTATTTGCTGTGCAATCTTTTATTCATTTATTCTTTTTTTTAATTTGTGCAAACTTTGATCCCCTGCAACTTCAAAGCTTTAAGCTCTGCCTTTTGGCCTTTTAACACATTTAATGAAGCTGTATTCACAGCTTGTTTATTCACTTTGCTTAGTGCGGAAAAGGCTTTCTTCTCAGTTGAATCAAGATTAGACGTTCTAGATCTATTTGTCCTAAAGTTTGCTACAATACTTGATACCAGAAGCAGATATCAGAAGTAGTCAAATTGAAATTTACACGTTCCCATTATAAATGCTCCAGATTTTTAGTTCGTCTGGTGACCCTCCATATTTATTGTTTTTTTGGGGTTTTTTTACTTAGTGCATGCAAAGTCTGACACATCTCTCTTATCCATTTGTTTTATCCCTCTGAAGTGTTTCATGTGCTCTAAAACATGCTTTGGCTGCATGTTGTGCTGCTTATGACAACAGTTCCCAATAGTAAAATACCACACCCAAAATTTGCTCCCTACGAGTCAGTCCAGCTCTTATAAAAAAATCTGAAGAAAACTTTTACATCTACCTAAGAAATACTGCATTTTTTATTATTATTATTATTATTCTTTGAGTTGATGCCCTGAAATTCATACCAATAATATTTTTAAAGAGATCCTTGCATGTGGTCCAGCTGAATGAGGAATATTTTTGGAGCAAAAAATGCTAAAATAATTTAAAATGTCGTCAGTACCCCATTCTAAATGGCAAAAGCATCGAAGCATTTCCATCAGAGGTTGCCTTACCTTTCCAGTGGATCGCACTCCTTTCCAAACACAAAAGTAGCAGATAATCCAAGCGAGTAACAGGCACAAGACCAGCTCCCATCTTAAGCTACCAATTTCCTCAATCCCCTTAGAAATGCCCAGAACTCTTCTCCTAAAAAGATAAATATATGCATAATGTTGCCAAAACAGACTTAATAAGAAATATCGCCAAAATGTAAGTACAGACATTGCAACATGTCAAAATAACCAAAATGTGGTGCATTCAATAAAATCTAAAAGAATTTGAGAAAAAAATCCAACCGTTTGTTAAAAAAAACAAGTAAATACAGTTTATTTTTCACAATAAAATAAAACACTAAAGGCATCCTAAAAACCCAACTTATTTTATCCAACTTTCAAAACTTAAATGGACATACTTAATTAAAAAGGGGGGTATTCATTAATGTTAACTGCCCTTTCAAATGCTCCTATGGTGACAACACAAATGTTTTAAAGCAAGTTTAGACTAGCAGTAAACACAGAACCTGTTTCCTAGATATGTTTGGCAATTGATACTGCTTTCATTAATTGCCAAAGCAACTGATGCAAGCAGCAGCTTATTTAAGAGCTTTACTTGGTTTAAACAACAGGTTTGGAGGGAAAGGCTGTGAGGATGCAGCATCAAGAGGCAACAGCTAAAATCCTTTCACTCAGACTATTGGCAACAAAAACACAGTTTTAAAAGAATTCACTAGAGGCGAGCAGCCAGTGGTTTATTGAGAAACAAAATCATCAGCACCAGTTTTACTTAGAAAGTTTAAAATAAAGTTTGCATTGAAACTGTATTTAAATACATAAATACTGGCTTTATAAAGCCGAAGGAACAGGAATCTGACGGTCTAAGTAAATTAGCGCTGCAGCGCAGGATGTTGTGAGAGGAATTTAGAAAAGTAGCAGGTTAAAACTTTGAGTCTTTGCTTCCAAAGTATATGTGATGTTTATGATTTGTCAATTAACTCTGACATTTGGCAACTATTTTGCTAAATGCTTGTTGCAGTGAGAGTGTTTCACACTATAAGTGTGCTTAAAGTGTCCAAAGATGGAAAGGTAGCAACAAATTGCAGAAAAAAAACTCAACTTTAGATATATGTGCACTATATGCACAACATTATGACCACCTATCAAAACATGTGGAGCTCACCCCAGATTCACTGCTAAGAAGTGAGATCAGCCAAGATACGGATTATGCTACTCGTCTAAAGTGAAGGTGTGCTGAGTTCTGGCGCCAAGATGTTAGCATCAGATCCTCTTAAGACCTGTAAGCTGCCAGGTGTGGCCCTCATTGTTCAGACTTGTCTCTTCTGAACATCCCAAAATGCTCAATTAAATTGAAATATGTGAAATATGTGAAATCAAGGCAACACCTCAAACTCCAAACAATTCCTAAGCAACATACAAACATCAGAAAATGCTGCTTTCTATGAAAAAAATGGAAATAAAGTCTGTCAATAGCTAGGCTAGAGATATGTGTAAAAGTAGTAACTATATGGATGGCAAGATCTGAGGTTTTATAGCAGAACATCATGTAAAGCCTCCCAGTGCTTTTCAACTTCTAATAGAGCATCCAGGACTCCTGTGTGGCTTTAATGAACAACACACACACCTGGAATCCCACATAATGTGAAAGAAAATCTGATTCTTCAGATCGGACTACTGAGCAGGGGTCAGCTTGGTCATCCTGACTGGTCTCCAACTTGTTTCATGTTCATCAATGAGCCTTGACCACTAATGACTCTGGACCTCTTTCCCTAGATGCTGACCACTGCAGACTGAAAACATCCTGTAAGAGCTGGCGTTTTGGAGACGCACCAACCCAGACGTCTGACCATCACTATTCCGACCCAATTTGGTCATTAAAATCCATAAGCGATACATAAATGTATGTATTTTACAGGTCATGTCATTTTAAAGTAAAACAAAGCAACTACGTTACCTTCAGTCATTATAAAATTAAAAGTATTTTGACTCTCCTTGAAATTGGGCCTCCGTCTCTTCAAGACGCTTCTACTCTTGCTGACACTCCGCCTTCATAATGCTTCTCGTTATGCTGTTAACAGTTGTTCTTAGAAGAGTTGGACTAAGAAGAAGCTTGTATGATGAGCTCAGCAGATGTGTAGTTCCACCAGCTGTTTGCTAATTGCTGCTGCCGCTAGTCTGAAGGAGCTGAGTGAGGGAAGTGAGAGAGAGAGGGGCTCTGTGAGGGGAAACTCGGCTGGAGAAAATTTGTGGGAAAAAGGCAGCGCTTTGTTTTAATTTAAGTAGTGGTGTCTCACGTTTTAGTTGCGTATAGGAAATACAATATGTCTAAAACATGGCGGACTGGTCAGTAAAGGAGGCAGGCATGAATTACACTTACTCCCAGAACTCGGTTGCAGGTGTTGTTGCATTTGCAGCTGCTGTCCAGTTGGATGACATGTTTTTCTTATCAAATTCAACACAAGACTCTGATTAAAGAAAAAAATCAATCAAATAAGTGTGCAATGCACTGTGTATGTGAGAAATATATATATTCATATATTTACACTCATTCAAATCCAAGTGAAGCCTAATTCTGTGTCAGCACTAAATTTCAAGTGAGAAACTGAAAGTTTTGTTCGAAGATATGCTCAGGATCAAGAGTGGTATCATTAACACTATGATTCTGATCAACATTGACAAAACATTTTATTATAATTTCTATTGTTTTGCTTTACCTGTGTTCCAGGAGTTTCCGCAGCTGGCCCATGGAAGGTCAGCGCTGAAGGATGAGAAGAGGTAGAAGAAAGCCCACGCCTGGATGACAATGTACGACACAGCAGCGTATGCAATCACTACCTGCGTGGCGTACCCGATACCTGAAGGCAGAGAGGGGGTCAGAATAGGTGACTGTAGGAAAATGACTGCGACAAATGCAGCATTTTGCAGAAATAACTCAGCTTGCTTCAATGTGTTTTGCAAAACAAACTGCAGGATTTCACCTCACTGCTAAATGACCTTCAGTTACCTAGCAAAGTAAATAGTGAATGCTATTCTTGCAGCAAGGGTATAGAGTTACTCATATAACAATCGGATCTGTTATTTTAAAAGGAAATCTGATGTATTCATTTAACCCTAACCCCTTATTGTCTTCAAGCAGATACCTTGTTAAATACATCTGGTTTAATTTCTACCTAAAACTGAATTGTTGCAAAGAGACAGTTTATCTACACAAACCATATCACTTACCCCAGTTTTTCTGCAAATTGGACCAAACAAATTTATTAACATGTATTAAAAAAATAATAACAAATGCACTTCCTGCTGTCCTGACAGTCTGCTCTCTGATTAATATTTACTGCATCTTGTATCTCCTGAATTTTTCTACATTTGCTATGTCACATCCCATCAATTTTAGTGGAATTATATGTGGTAAACCTACAGAAAGTAGTGCATGATTTCAGTTTTGTCATCGTTGTTTTAGAACCTACCCCTGTTTTAAACTTAACCACATCCTAGTAGTCGCTGCAGTTTGTCAAACTCAGTTAAATAAGCTGAGCAGATCAGCTCTGAGCCCGTTTTAAAGGCAAAAAGGTGAAGGAGGTCAAATACAGTCAGTCACAGCAGAAGCTCAGCCAGGACGCGTGTTTAATCTATGGAAGGAGAACATTAAGTTGTTGTCTACAAATGTTTTCTAGGAAGCCTTCGAGGCTTTCACAAGACAGGTTGGATAGGTTTCTTTTAGGGGTTTCCAAATAAAGGAGGCTGAATACACATTTATCTATCAATTTAAATATGTATAAATAATTTCCCTCATCCACACAACTATGTGCTTTGTGTTGATCTATCATCTACAATCCTAGTAAAACATTTATAATATTTAAAACATAAGATGTTATGTTTTAGCGGCCTTATATTTGCAGCCGTCTCTTCTGAGTATTGTCAGACCCTGCGGCGTCCTGTTTGAACATCACACATTATCACATATGTAAAACCACTGCACCTGAGCAAGATAAAAAAATATAAAAAAAAACTTTTTTGCTAATCCCATCAATCATGCAGTGTGCGTGACAGATTACATGCTTGGAATGGAATTCCAAGGAATTTGACGCAAGTTTCCCTTAGGCCCAGACACCGTAACATGTCAGGACCTTCATCGTTTATTGCAGCTTTAATGCCTTTTCCCACCTTTACATCTTGATAAATTAGGTGTGAAGAATGCCATGTTCCAGTCTACACATTCTCCTCTGTGTCTAATAATCCATCACATGGAGCAGCTGAGCAACAACAGACAGTTTGTTGTGTGCAAAGTTTCATCAGGTTTCCTGGAGTTGACACGTGACGATTATTAATCATAGCTTAACAACGGACAATTGTGCTTTGTGGGAAACTTCTTTTGCTTGTTTATTTGGGAATGAACAACAGATTCCTCTTTGTTCTCATGTGAGACTCTGTATTTGGGTTATTAGGACCTATTTTGATGCCTGTGACAGGAGACTTTCCTTGGTCTTTTCAGATTAAGGGCATGCCTAATTTTTAGCTGCTTGTAGATTTAGATGACTACAGACATTTGTAGATATTATTTAAGATGATGGCTTTATGTCTAGACGCAGGAAATCCGCATTCATTGGCCCTATTACAATATCCCAATCTCACAAGAGTGAACACATTTGAACTGGGCTCATGCAAAAAAATAAAAAATAAATAAATAATATATATATATATATATACACATATATATATATATAGTATTGCATTGATTTACTTATTTTTTTATATTATTGTATTGTAATTACAGAAGTCACAGAAGTTGAATAGCTCCTTTCAAAACTCGCTACATTGCTTGATGGAGTCCATCTGTGTGTGATTTATTCAAAGGCTTGTTAGAAGATAAATCACCGAAAGTAAGGAAGAAAAATGAACACTGCAGACAGTTCTCTTCGTTTGAAAGCTATGGATAAGTTTGAAGCAGGGTTAGGTTAGGAGACAATATTTTAAGCTTTGAACATCTGATGGAGTGCTGGTCAATCCATCCTTCGACAATGTAAATAGTCTGGCACAAATGCAAAACCTGCAAAAACATGGCTGGTCAAACAAATGGGCAATCTGGACAAGGAGAACCTTAATCAGAAAAGCAGCCAAGAGCCCGATGGAGACTCTTTACTACATGCAAAATACTATTTGTGATGGAGCGTCACATCACCCTGATCACACCATCTCAGGGGTAAAACATGGCAGTGGCAGCATCATGCTGTGGGCATGCTTTTCTTCAGCAAGAACAGAGAAGCTGGTCTGAGTTGATGGCAAAATGGATGGAGCTAAATCAATCAATCAATCAATCAATCAATCAATCAAGTTTATGTGTATAGCACATTTCAGCAGCAAGGTGTTTCACATAATGAAAACACAGAATCAAACAGCGCAGCCCTGGATTTGCTCTCAGGTTTGTGCTGTCCTCTTCTTCATGCAGCAGTTCAGCCTTTTGTGACCGTTTGGTAAAAAGCTGCATATTAGTCGCATCAAACGATTCAAAGTGTGTGAAAAAAGCAGCGGCTTACAGTCCAGAAAGTAAGGTAAGTGTCAAAATGGCCAAGTCAAAGTCCAGACCTACATGCAATAAAGATGCTACAGCAGGAAACTGATGTTCACACTGACTCTCTGCAATCAGTCTAACTGATCTTGGGCTTTTTTGTGACGGAAAATAGGTACAGATTTCAGTCTCTCGGTGTGCTAATAAACAGATGCATACTCATGAAGAGCTGTGTTGTTTTTCTTTCTCAGAGTGGCTAAATTCATTTGCTCAGGACTATTTTCAGTCTTAAAAAATGTTGATGCCTTGAATCAGTTTCCTTCCACGCTACAATTATAAGCTACTTGTTTAGGTCTATCACATAAAATCCTAATGAAAAACAACAATGTTTTTGGTTGCAACGTGACCAAAAAACCACTGTAAATAAATCTGATGACTTTCCTTCACAATCGATCAGTGGGAATTAACTTTGAGAGTGGCCTAAAGTTTTTTGCAGTAGATTTAACAGCTTTAATTACGTCTTTTCTTTTAATATGTGAACTGAGGACTCAAAGAAATTGCAAAACAAAAGAGTTTTTAAGTTTGTTGCATTACTGGTTTTGTTTTCTTTACAGTATTTATTTTTGCATGGAAGGGCGGCACTGCCACGGGCTAATGTGGAGTTGCATTGAGCTCCTGTGAAACACAAACCTTCAAACAGGGGACAGAAGTGCCTCCAGCAGGTGATGCAACCCTGGGACGTGTATTGCCCCATGGCTGTCTCCAGGAGGAACATCGGGATGCCGCAGGCAAGCAGAAACAGGATGTAAGGAATCAGAAATGCGCCTGAGAAGAAAGTGAGCCAAGTAATCTGGAAAACATCTCCTGAAGACAATTTACACATCCGTGAAAGTTTTTTTTTTTTTGTTTACACCACGTTAACTTTCTAATAAGCTGTTGCCAAAAATGCCATTTCGCATAAAAATACGCAATGTATAAATCTATGTGATGTATTTGTCATTATCATTTTATTCATTATCACACTCGTGTTTTTTTATTCTTCTTCACTTTATATTATGATCGGATGTTGCTGACTGACATCAAAACATGAGCCCTATTTCATTAAGCTCTGCTTACAAATACATGTTTCAAATTGTTTTCAGCTCAGTTTGGCTTAAATCATTGGCGGCTTCAACTAAAACCTTCCCACACATGTCAGTCATAACAGTGACACATGAACCAATTAACACTGATTATATCTTCCGTGAGGCACTAGTCAGTGAATGGCATATTTGGCAGTAGCTAAACATTTTTTTCTCACAGTTGATAGAATCCGAGTGTGCAGAGTTCAGGGTGTGAGCGAGTTTGACAGGAGCTAAACTGGAATGGTCAGTTGACTGGGTCAAAGCTTAAACCCTGAAATTGTGTTGCTGTGGGGTTTGAAGAGTTCAGTATCTATCATGGTGGTAAACTGGTGTCAGGATCGTAAGAGGCCAAAGCTCAGTGACACACGTGGTGATGATGATGATGATGATGATGATGAGGGATGGCCTCGTTGCTCCGATGCAACAGAGGAGCCAAAGCAGCTCAAACTATGACTGCTTATTTGCTTGACATTGAGTTTTGAACAGAAGTAGGTACACACTCGCACAGTAAATTGAATGTTTTACTTTGTTCTGCTACTTCAGTGACTTCAGTGTTCGTTGTTCAAAGAACAAATAAAGAATCTGATTGTTCATTGTTTGTGCCAAGTTGTTGAGGTAAAAACCCTTTGTTTCCTAATAGATTTGCAAGTGTACCGTATATGGAAAAAAGCAAAAACACCTTCACTTATTGGAAATCAATAAAAAAATAAAAATAAAAATAAAATGACGGGACTTCAAAAGCAGAAAATGGAAAAAATAAAGTATTTTCAAGACACAGACTGCATCTAAAAAGGGAAGTCAAATTTGGGGGCAGTGTTTGCTCTCAAAATACAGAAACTGGTTACATTTTATGCCATTTCCCTCAACACAATCAAATCATTTAGGGGGAAAAAACGCTATAATGGACAGTATTCATTCATTCATTCATTCATTCATTCCAGCTCAAAGTTACTGCTGGTCCCCCATCTGGTCACCCCTTGGAAAACATTTTTGAAGCCGCTCCTGTTGTCCCGATCTGGAAATCCCTTAAAGCAAATTTCAACTACTTTTCTGTCTTATTTTTTCGGGGGGGGGGTTTCAGAGCCTACCTCCTCCGTTTTTGTAGCATAAGTAGGGGAACCTCCACAGGTTTCCCAGTCCGACCAGCGTTCCCGCTACGGCCAGCAGGAACTCCAGCTTGCTCGCCCACTGGCCGCGGTCCAGCAGCGGGGTCTTCTTTCCGGAGACGCTCCCCTGATTGGACCCGTCCACGCTGTTTCCTTTCACAAACTCCCTTGACATGTTGAAGAATCGAGAGAGAAGCTATCACTGAAAAGCCCCTGCGGCTCTCTGGCTCTTTTATATCGCGCACTGTTCAGTCCCTGGTTAAACTGGTTTACTTACTCAACTGATCTTTTTTTTTTCTCAGAAGCTTCAATAAGTTTAATTGCTGGACTAAAGCTTGCAGGATTACCAGGAGTTTTATTTTTTAAAAGCGTGACATTTTGGGGGGTTTAAAGCAGCGCGGGGGGCGGGGGGGGATAGACGGTGAACACTTACCCCTCCATCTTTTTGAGCCCCCTCCCCACACAAAGCTCCTTCCAGGAACACAGGAATCCGATCAGTATTCCTCTCAGCTTGAGCCACTGGGAACAGTAGTTGTGGTTTCCGCGGGATCCTCTGTGATGTAACTACACTTGAACTGGTTTGTTGTCACACACACACAGTTTGTCCCTGAAAGGGTTGGAAATCATGCCACTTCCGCGCTGTACTTTTCCACTGTGGCAGGACCATGAGTGGGCCAGATTAGCGCAGCTGCTGATTTAAAGCAGGCAGCTGAGTCGTGTCTGCTCACGCAGTCCACGCAGGAGAGATTTTAGTAACCCGTTAGCGCTTAGTGTTGGGTCCGTGACCAGTGCAACCAGATCTGGACATACTGTGATGTACTGTAAACATCCTGCTTTACGGTCTGCTCCTATTCACTCTTTATGGCTCTGGTTCTCAGACTTGTTAAATCGCCCTCTGATTAAATAAAACATGTGCTTGTAACATTGGGAAGTTGCTTCATTTCAGTATTTAAATTCAGAAAGGGAAGTTAAATATAATAAACAGAGCAGAGGAAAAGTACTTTCTCTCTTAAACTCTTGTTTTTTTTCTTTTTTGTTTTTTGTTTTGTTTTTTTAAATCAATCAATCAACTCTGGTTGACAGAGTTCACATGAAACTCTGTCAACCAAAGTAATTGGTTGTACCACCTTCTGGACAAATCGTGAGCCTCCTTTAGGTTATGCCACAGCACCTCAGTCAGATTAAGGTCTGGGCTTTGACTAGGCCACTGGAAAACTTTAACTTCTGTTTTTTTTTGTTTTGTTTTTTTGTTTTTTTTACAGCAACCCCAGTGGTTTCACACATGACTGCTCAGCAAAATATTTGAGCTGCCTGGCAAGGAAGCTTGCAAATGACACATCTGTGGGCAAATGCTTTGCAAACAATGACGAGTCTGACCACAAGCAGGAGGCGGAACATCTCAAAGATGAAAACAGCCTCTGCCAGCAATGTGAAAAAGACCAAGGGGATGACTGTGGACATCAGAAGGCGCAGACAGTGGTGGAAATGGTCTCCTGCTACAGGTCACTGACAACCTCACCTGGAGTTGCCTGGTATAAAACAGTTCCTTGAACTACTACGCCATTTGCTGCATACAGAACATCTGGGCTCCCAGCTATTGAGACATGATCGCTTCCTGAAGCATAGACTGTGTTGAAGCTTCAAATTTTACGCAATAGCTAACGTTTGTCTGTGAGGTATGTAATATGCCAGCTTCTTAGCATGAAAAAAAGGAGCATTTCCAATTAATTTTTCATCATCTTTTGATATCGTTGATATAAATGTCATATGGAGTGGTTGGTTGTGGTGAGGTGAGACGCAGGCTGAACCCAGGTTGTAGTGAAAATGATGAGATTTGAAACAATCACTTTCTTAGTGTCCCCCATCTCTGTTGGTTAAAAAAATAATAATTTTTTTGCTGTTTAACTTGTTGAAGTCATTGGGAGGGGCTAATACTGTTATGGACAATCTGATTGGTCAGCAGTTATACTGCTGTGCATGTCAACCAATCAAATCATAGAATCAATTTGAAGAGTCAAAGTTACAGCTTAAATAATATAATGTTGGCATGTAGCACTGGAAATATGAAATAATTAATCTTTGTTTTATGAATTCAACATTTAATAACTCATTTTTGCATGTAATTATGTAAGAAATTATTTAAACATAATTACGAACACAGTTTTGAATCTTAATGCATTTTTTAGTTTCATTAAGTGCAATCAAATTTAAAAAGAGGACTAAAATAGGACGTGTAATTACAGTACCTAAGGTCATAAAAGGAATAAGAACTAAGAAGAAAATATTTTACTGAGGATAAAACATTGTTAGAAAAATAATACATCTTTGAAAATGCTCTCAATGCAAAATTAATAAATATTTAATGAGAAAAGTCATTCAGTTCAGTGTACCTGATTAAAGTTGCATGTCTGTGAACTTGTATGTTTGGTCAGGCCACCTGCTGGAGCAGATCACTTGGCGACAGCTGGTCAGGGGTGATATGAAGACATGCTCCGTGTTTTAATCGTCACTTTTTTTTTCTGAGAGTGGTGCAATGTGACAACCTACTTTCAGCAAAGAGAACTTCTACTTTAACTTTACAGATTAGATGCAGCACGACCTGGTCTCCAATGCAACATGGTTTTTTGTTGTTTTTTTTTTACTTATAGAGATGCTGGTCTCTCCGAGTTTGCAGGTGGATTTCTCACTAGAATGGGCGACTAAAACAAGCCGGTAACTTTCTAACAGACATTTTTAATATTGGGATTCCTTATCATGTAAAACTAAATTATACTAAAGTAAGTTATAAGAAGAATATTTTTATTGCAGTGTCATATTACTAAAAGAGAGACATTTGAAATACTCCTGAAAACACTGTGGAAAAAATGCATTTGAAATGCACTGAATCAATCTTCTACCTTCAGGTGAACTGTAGTAAAGTTTGCAAAGCAATTAAAACCTCCTTATCTGAAGTCCAAACAACAAAGTGGAGATATGTTTAACTGTATTGACTCAGTGGATTATCTGAATGTGGCAGCAGAAGGACAAATAAAGCTGCGGATGAGCTTGAAAGGAGAAGTGAATGCCATATAAATCCTAAAAATACACGGATCACCTTCTAGAACCACTTGGTTTGTGAAGTAAATGATTGATAAACAAGGAAAAACCTGGCACCAGTTATTCCTCATAGGGGACAGAACTGATCTGATCTGATGGCTTAAAGTCATGGTTCGTGGTACATTTAATATTAATGGTACTTCAAATGCTTTTCATGGTGGTCGATCAAAAACTCCTAGTCAGAAATACTTGAGCTGACTTCTATTTACCTTTGAGTCGCAACTTGGATCTGGAAATGACTTCAAAATTAAGTAGAACTGGCTACATTATTTGCTCTACAAAAAGAATAAATATTATCTGCAGTACAACATAGTAACAACGTGTAACACTGAGACAAGTTTTGTAAATGTGAAAAAACTTTTATCAATTGATCTTTTTTATTTATTTTTTTTCTTGCAAATAAAAACTTCAGCTTTTATTCAACCAGCCAAGCAGCTCGGCTAAGTTATTTTTATTGTTGCTTCAACAACAAATTTGTTCCGTTTTCAAAGACAAGATGAGTAGATTCAAAAGGGATTTTAAAATGATGATTTCATCTACTAACCTATGAAAAACTATTTAAACTTCCTGATCTTACGATAGTTATGGTGCTTGTGTTAACCATGTTTTTGTGTTGTTTTATGTTTTGCTTTTACAACTAGATAAATACTAAAAATAAAAATAAAAAACTTATTGTCATGATCCGTGTTTTTCTGTTTAGTTATTTTGGGATTTTCTGTGTTTAGTCCTGTTTCCCTGAGTCTCTGTGTTGTCCTGTCAGTCCTGGATTGTTCCCAGGTGTGTTTCGTTCCATGTGTATTTAAGTCCACCTGTTGTCTCTGTCTCTTGTCGGGTCCATGTCAAACGGATGTCCTTTTGTCTGTCGGCCGTCCACAGTAGAACTGAAGTCCTGTGGCGACCTCAGCTCTCGTTTGCAGTCATTAATGTCCTTACAGTTTAGTGAAAAAGACACATTCAGTTCTTCGATATGAAATGTCTGCCTAGCAATGTCTAATCTCTACAAAAGAAGATGACAAAACATAAGATTGAATCATTTATTAAACAAAAGATACCAACAAAAGGTGTTTTCTGCGGTAAAAGTAAAGACATCCCTGTGTTTCTTCCTTTGAATGTATAGCCTGTTCCAAATAACCCCGCTGCATCTCAATGGGATCAAGTTTTGGTCTTTGACTAGGCCTAAGACTTTCTATTTGTGGATGTACCTCCAGTGAAAGTTAAACTTGTGAAGTCTGTTGCTAATGCACAGCCATAGACTTCCAAATCAACCAAAGCGAGAGTTGACTGTATGTGTAATGATGACATTTTAGGACTTTTGGAGACTTCTTTTAGCATTTTGTAGTCTGCTCTCGGGATAAATTTGCTTGTCCAGCTAGAGGTGGGCCAACTGAATGTTGAATTTATTATGACAGATCTGTTTAATATCCTACCAGACTCATAAGCTACCACAATCTCCCTTCTGAAAGCCTTAAGTGTGAATAAGAGTTGTTCAAATGTATTCTTCACCATAATTTTTTTGTTACATTTTAAAGAAAATGTTAGAAGGTATTTTTAGTCTTTAATCTTTGTATTCCTTGATTTAAAAAAAAATATATTGTTAAACTTTACGTATGTTCAAAGTTATTAGTCAACATACAGGCTGTATTGTTATTTTTAACATAGCAGGGATAACCTGCTCAAATGTAAAATATGCCAGGAATTATCAGTATAAATAACATAATTCAGCTGTTATGGCAACCATATGCCACAGAATGCATTTAATAATGTGTCTTATCTTGAGTAAATAGACATTTATGGGTTTTTGAAAGCAACTTATCTTTTTTCTTGGAGTCTGGCAGGTGTTGTCCTTGGCCTTGTGACAGAGAAACAACCACTCATAGCAAGCGACGGCGAGATTGTTCTAAAATGAGTTTACAGCAGTTTCAGAACGAAAATGCAACACTGAAGATATCATTGGACTCGAAGATTTCATATCCATATGTGACCTTAACCTTAAAAAGTAGACACAGCAGTACATTATGAGCTTTTGGAATGTTTTAACTAAAAAATAATAATAGCAAGATGTTTCACTAAGAGCACCTGTGCCACCGATGAGGTAGCAGAGTTGGTCTGCAGATGGTTAGAGACCAAACAGGACCACTCATTGTGTGCATCTGGAACACTTTGAAGAAGAGGATGTTGCCCTTGATTATTAAAAACAAAAGAGAGCAGACAATGACTAGATGAACAGCTAAGTGATTTAGTAGGAATTACAGAGGCTCCTCTGGCCGACTTATTACCTTTTCTAATACAAGCTCCAAGGCTGACGTAAACCAGATCAGGTTTCCTGTCGCACAGTTACTCTGGATTCTTATTTTACGTACGTCAATTGAGACAGTTGAATAAATCTGACATCGCTTTCCGTGTCTATGTGGACATTTATTTGTACTGTTCCTTTAAAGAAAGTTATTTTACAACTGACTGCTTGTCAAACATTAAACAATGGCTGAGGGATTTCTATGACTTTCTACCAAACTACGACACGACAACATTTCTGAAACATTTTCTTGTTATTTTACATTTTATTTGTTGCACTCCATATTTCTCTTTGAAGTACTTTGTTAGTTTTACTTTCTGTTTTATCAGTTACAGTATCAAAGGAGTCGGCCCGCTTTGACGCTGTAAGGTTCTGGGTGGCTTCAGCATTTACTACTCTACTCTTCTATCCTTCCAGGGTTTTGTTTGGGGATCACC